TTTCTGAGGGCGCTGCGCTTCCATCCAAACAACAAGAAAGTCTACCAGGAGGTAAAAGAAGCAAAATATGTCTGTTTTTAACCCACTGTTGGTCAGTGTCTTTGATTTTTAATCATGAAACCTTTACTGAGAAACTTTGTTTGTTTGAGTGAAGTTGGGTGAAAACGGCTGCTGTTGACAGATTGGTGAAATTGACTGTGTATTTGTCAAATATTCTTTTCTAAATTTCTCCAACAACTCTGTGTTAGTACTTCCGTATGGAGCTGCTGCACTGTGAGAAACTGAGAAAGCAGAAGAAAGAGCTGGAGAAAGCTGAGATGGACCTGGTGAGTGTGTTGCAAATCGAACACAAACAGTGGGAAATGCAAGAAGTCAATACAAACACACACACACACAGACTCTCACTTTCTATTCAGTGCCTGAATACCTGTTCTTCACTCCCTCCAGGGTGAATATGAGTTTTCTCCAGAAATCCTGAGTGCTAAACTGGCTGAGGTTGTGTACAGAGATGCTACAGGGAAAATCAAAGGTAGAATTTTTAAATTTGATTTCCAATTTAAAAAAACACCAAAATAAAAAAGGACTTTTCAAATCTAAAATACTTTTAACAACTTGGGTTGGGTATCACCCATGCTACCAACATAAGTATGTCTGATATTTCTTAATTTTGAGTAAGAAAAGTCTGTTTTTGCACCTGTCAATGTAAGATGTCACACATAACCCCAGTAAAACCACAAACTATAGTTTCTTGTTTGGATCAAGAGCGAGAGCCTGGCTGTTTCCCCCGTTTCCAGTCTTTGTGCTAAGCTAAGCTAACTGGCTCCTGGCTATAGCTTATATATTATATATATATGAGTGGTGTCAATCTTTTCATTTAACACTTAGCAAAGCGATATCAAGCATTCCTTCAACAATAGGAATTCCAAGATCAGGTCTCTTTACCTTTGTGTTGCTGCTCTTTTTGTCCAACAGAAGCAGAGTTCGTCATCTCACTTCTGAACATAGCAGCTATCTTTGACTTCACCAAAGAACTCCAGGACTTCATCTTGCAAGAGTAAGACACAGAATCTGTCTTGAACTCAAACAGAAATTCATCACTGAGCACGAACATACTTACGTCCCTCTCCTCGTTTGCAGTTTACAGGCAAACTACACAGAAGACAGCTTGACGTGGGATTTCATGGCTAAGAGGGAGCTGGAGGCTCCGGGGGCAGGGGAGGAGCTGCAGACAGCCAAAGGCCGGGCGTCGGATATCAGCCGCAGAGAGGAGGGCTGCTGCCAGGTCTATGAGGAGGGGGTCAAGAGCCTTAACACTGGTATGAGCTCACACATACACAGAGAACGAACTGATGTGGTAATTTGGGCTATTTTTCAAAAAGGCAAAATCACTTGTTGAGACTCAGAACTTTGATGTTTGAATTGTGATGAATTGTTATAATTAACATTTTATTACAGCCACTTGTGGATTTTATTAAGTATGAAAATGATCTAAAGTATTAAAACCATCAATTTCTTTGCACTATATGTGGTTTAGAAAAAGAAGAAGAGGACTAGTTTCACAATATTAAAAATATTACAATATTTCTTTAAAAGTGGTGGTGCCTATATTACCAAACAAGATTTACTTTATTTTACTTATTAATTCCCTTCTCTTTCTTTATTTTGCACATATCGGCAGTGTCATTTCCAATGTTGGATTTGTCCTTTTTTGTAAAAAAACAATATATATAATAAAATCTCGATCTAGGCAGGCTAATGAGTTCCAAAACATAAATACACAGTTTGCAAACTGCCCGCCAACTTCATGTGACAGGATAAGAAACCATCGCTGTGCTTGTGTGCTCTGCGCTCTAGAGCCCATGTGGACTTGCTATGTGGCGTTCTGCTGGGAAAGGCTGAAGAGAAAGACCAACGTCCAAGAGCTGAAGGAAAAGGTATGTGAATAACTTGTAAATTAATCTAATTCTCATTATGTCACTATGACCGCGTGTTCACACCTGAGGATAAAAAATGAAACACCAAAAAATTGTCAGCAGCTACAGTGTGTTTGGAGGTGGATGTTTGAATGGCTAAATCCTGACACTTCCTTTAAATCCTTTATGTGTTTGTGTATGACAGAGACAGGAGAGGCTGCTGGGAGTGCTGCAGCGCGCCCACGACTCCTCGCTGCTGAAGGAGGATTATTACAAGAACTGGGTAAGATAATGCTTTTAAACGTGTAGCTGAAATCATAGAGGCCTTTATGGTTCAGTCTCCTTTCATTTGAATAATGACTTGTCAAACGTCTGTTCACACAAAGCACGTTTATTGGATTAGTTTAGTTTGTTTGGACTGCGTGAGAACAGCGCCAGTCAGAGTGATACCAACAAACGTCTTTGAATGCTTGTCAGTTTCAGTCTTCTTCATAAGGAGTGACAGTCTAATTAGGAGAAAAGAAGTACATAAAATAACACAGAACACCCTCTCACTGAAATCACATGACCACAACGCTGTTGTTATTTGTGAGTCAATGTTCTATTTAACTTTTTACTTGGTAGCTTGACACCTTTTTTCAGCTATGATTAGAACTACAACAGAGTGGGATTGCACCTTAAGATAGAATACCAGTAGATCTTAGATCTGCTCTAGCCCCACTTTGAGATTAGTCATTTATGAATTCCCACATTATGTATTGTTTGATTGTCTTTGATTTTCAAATAAAGTTGCAGATCCTGCTCTCATCCGGAGATGCTGAGGGAGCGGCCAGTGTTGCCATGGCAGCCACGCAGCTCTACAGCCAATCGGTGTCAGTATGGAGCCTGAGTCTGCAGACAATGATGCAGCTGGGGAGCGGAGACGTGGGCAAGCTATTCCAGGACGCTCTCACACGCGTTAATCCCAAGGTACACAGAGCTCACACACACATTTGACTGTGCGTAAATTGTTCTCAATCACATTGAGTTTGGTCATTTTTCTTTGCTTACAATGAGCACCACATCAGTTGTGCTACTACTGCACAGGTATAATTGTTCTCCTTGGAGACACGGACACACACACACTCACACTCACACTCACACACACACACACACACACAGCCACCAGCACTCCTGTATAAATGGGCCATCTCCTTGGCCCAGTTAGTCTATTGCATTATATTAAGTTCCTCAAATGGCTTCCTCCACCCCCTTCTATATGTGAGGAAAAATTAAGATGTAAAAAAAAAAAATTGAAACATTAAGTTATAAACACAACATGAAAAGCCAGAGACTATTATCAGTATAGATAATTTGGGTAACTATTATTTATTTGAGTCAGTAAATGAGTTGGATTATTGTTTAATCCTATACTTTTGACAGATTGATATGTTTTGGGTGGCAAATGAACTAATCCTTAAATCCCCAGCAACACCTCAGATATTCTGGGGTCAGTCATAATGTTTTTTTTTTTAAAACATTAAACTGGCATTGATGTTTTTCTCATGCTGCAATACCTTATTGAACACAAAGCCTCTTAAAAATGTACATTTACATATTTTTTCCCTTAATTTTGTGTTGCCCTGACAGTGTCCTTCACATTGTTGCATAGCGCATCGCAGTATAATACTGTCTGGCTATGAATACATAGGCTTTGACTCAGCCACAGGCCTTTATAGTAGAGGGCTGAATAGCTGGTTATTGTTGTGTCGGGGGTTTCACAAGACTGTAGCCCTGAGAAGTAGCTGTGTGAGGAGGATTACCACACTGCTGCTGATTATTAGGCAAGTGGTTTTTCTCTCTTTAAGTTGAGAAATGGCATTAACCCACAGCGGGGTTCGTCTGGTGTTTCGAACGATATTGCACGGCTCAGAAATATAGATTAATTAATGAGGAAAATGTGGACGTCCTCTCTTAATCCAGCTTGATGTTGTATACTCATGCACTTTCTAAAGGCACATTGACCTGGGGAGAGTGGAGCAAGGTGATTTGTCACCCAGATGCTCCACAGGGATACTGACTCATTACTCATTTTTAAAATCTCTGCATATAATGGGAAAACACGACAGCTAAATCTGCAAACATCGGTCTGATTTAAGCACACCAGTGCTCAGTATGTTTGCTCTTAAGAATAAAAGGGAATGAAGATATGGTACATTGACAACACATACCTCCACTAAAGGATGCAAATGGACCCCCGCTGGGCAAGATACTGATTAGAAACCAATAGCGTAATCTTTTCTGTCCTGTCTTGACAGGAGAGTCTACCACTTTGGCAGCTGCAGGTCCAGTGGAGCGTGGCCAACCAGACTCCTGAAGAGACAGAAGCAGTCTTCAAGGTAGTCCATCTGTATCCAGTTTTAAATCACAGTGCACTGTCACTACTAGCTACTGGAACATATTGTTTGGCTCCGCTGGGAAAGCAGTTATTTTTATTATTATTAATTATTTTCTACCCATGATAATGATCTTAGAAAAGTGCCACATAAAAATGCATGGCACCATACAATGTGAAGTGAAGTTATCTTTCTGGTCAGTTTTGTAAAGAACTGTAGACTGATAAAAAATGTTGATAGAAGATTAATAGCCCCTGATGTCTGCACAGTGTTTTGGCCTCTGAAATGAGAATGCCTCGCAGACAGTTTTGTTTTCTCGTTTGTTCCCAGAGAGGTCTGCTGTCTGCAGTAACGGTTATTGCCATGGAGATAAAAGAGAGCTACCTTGATTGGTCGTACTCCACTGGAGGCTACAAGAAAGCTAGGAAGACCTTTACAAGGTAAAAGAAAATGACTCTGTCTGCTCACGTTGTTGTTAATATAAATGATAAATAACACAAAAGGAATAAAAGATTGAATTGGTCGCAAATCACTGTGGTGCAACTGCAAAATAATTAACATTTTCTTCTATAGCTTACAGGAAAACCGTCCCTTGTCCAAGGCCTTTTTCACCAGAATGATTCAGATCGAGAAGGAACAAGTACGTATAGATAGAAAATAGATTAGTGACAATAGCTTGGACTCTTAACTCTTCCAAAAAAGAAATAGCAGGGACAGACGGCAGACTTTATTATTTGTATTAGTGATAAGGCAAGACAATTCTGAGCTGTGATAACAGTGTTTGTTCTTCCAGGAGACGCCAAAGATGAACAGTCTGAGAGAGTACTACGAGCGGGCCCTGCAGGAGTTTGGCACCTCAGATGATGGTGAGCAGACTTTATATGCCTTTAAAGGAACAAGAGTAGGAAGGGAAAGTAGTGTTCAAAATATTTATTCCTGCTATTCAAGTATCAAGGACTAAATTCCAGGTTTCCATCTAACAAAACAACTGCACAAAAAATGGCATGCTGTGGTACCTATATTACCAAGATGCCAAATACTTCAATAGTTATTTGACCAGATATAGCTCAGACCTATTTTGGAGGTGAGTGTGAAAATACATTCTTGGACAGAGACTCAAAAATTAAGCAGAGGCTGGATCCCACACAAACTACTAGTCTGGTTTCTAGGCCAAAAACAGAGCTGTCAATTAGGATATTTTCTTTAATTTCAGTGTAAAAGTGTTTTCTGTTTTTATTTCCCTGCAGATCTGTGGCTGCAGTACATCCAGGAGGAGCTGGGACCCCTCGGACAGCCAGAGAACTGTGGCAAGATCCACTGGAGAGCCATGAAGTTTCTGGAAGGGGAGAGTGTGGAGAGATTCACCTCCAGATATACTCTACTTCAGACCGGGCACTTATGAGTAGCTCCGAAGAGGTCCAAAGTAGCATAGCTCAAGGCCTGTAAGTTCAGCCAATGTTCAACAACTGTAGACATTTCATCAACTAAGAGGCAGTATGTTTCAGAGCAGGCGTTCCTCTCGGTCCGGTTGAAAACTGGTGCTATGTCCATCCATGACTTGTTTCATTGCCTGCAACTGGAAAGCCAGTTTTTCTGTCCATCAGGAAAAGGCCTGTTGATTCTTCTTCAAAAAGGTTCCAGCAGTGTTGACGGGAAATCTTTTTAGATTTGATGATTTGCAGCTTTAGGCAGTAATACAACAACTTTCCATTTTCATTTACAACAGTTTGTGCTGCATTTGATACCAGACTGAAGTTGGAAATATGTAGTACTGTAAGGATGTCCAGTTGAATTGAATTCCACGTTTATTTGATACAAACTTTGATGCTGTTATATTAAAACAGTTATTCATTCTGGGGTTCTGTTTCTCTGCTGTGGTCCCTCTGAGACATAACAAAATGTACACAGACACACACACACACACACACACACACACACACACACACACACACACACACACACACACACACACACACACACACACACACACACACACACACACACACACACACTCTTTTCTAAACTCAGGACTACCTACAGCTAAAGGCAGGTTAGTGAAGTTAATTTACATTACTATGACAAAAACACACTCTAAAATTCTCATTTCAAACATTGATCCAATGTTTGCAGTCGGTATCAAGTAGCATCTCATTTCAGTTCCCACCATTCATAGTACAAAATGTTGCCTTTAAATAACAAAACAATAAATATTAAGCAGCAGTTATACTATGGGATAGTTGCACATCTATGAAATGTTTCAATGACCAGCTGAAAAACTGTTCATAAACATCTAAATATATTTACAGTTTTTTAAGGACACTTCAAATAGTTTAATACAGCGGTGGCACCTACAGTGTTATGACAGCTATGAGGTATAACATAGAAAAAAGCATTATATAAATGGATCATGATGTTGCACTGTAAGATCTAATATAGATGATACACATGTAGACCTATAAAATTGTATCACAAGGGATTTTACAATGTCTTTTCACTCATCTGATACTCAAAGACAATATGAACAATGCTTCATGGAAAGTTTAAAAGCGTTGCCAGCTTACTTCATGGTCTCTATTCATTGAAAGCCATGTTCAGAACCATGGGGCCAGATTTGGGGAGATGATATGAGTTAACTGCATTTACAGTAATTACACTCTGAGAGAGATTAAGTACCTTGGCACTCTCCAATTATTGTTTTTCACAGACACTAGTTTCAGGGCAATTCGCTTTCTCCTGGTATCTCAGTCGGGCTTTGAGGAAATTAGTGCAAACAAGAAAAGATGAAGAGAGTGAAAACAATGTGTTATAAGGCAGAAGTTGTTTTGGCGAATGATTATTTTCAATAATAATCCCTTTAGAAAATTAGTGAATTGTGTTTTAAGAGGCAATTCCAGACACATAATGTCAGCTGAAGACTTCTCTATGTGAATGGAGTTTGAAGTAGTACTGACACGCACTGCGGCTACAGTGTGTGTAGAGGATTCTGGTAGTGTTGGATGATAAACTGAGCTACTAGGGCTGTTGAAAAATTTGCAAACTGGCTAATTGTTGGAGTGCCTGTGCTAAATTTCATGTGTTGGGGAAGAATCATTTGGCAGTTAAGCCATTAAAATTAAGCATTGCATGAAAATTTAATCTAAAAGATACTGAATACTGCCACATAAAATCTGTCGCCATAGATAAATTATCTATACCCGCCTTTAACAAAAAGCTGGACCCTTTTGCTTCACATGCTCACCTCCTCCACAACAACTATCTTACTGATAGAGGACATGAACCTCAATGTGTTTTCCCCCAAATTTAGGGGAAAATGTCTTATTGACCACCAACCAGCCGTTTACCTTCCAACCACCTTGAATAAAGACAGTGTGCCCAGGTATGTGTTGGATATACCCTCCAGCTGACTAATGTACCAAACATGTAGGGGAAAAAAACCCCTGTCTGTCTGGTGAGTGTTTGCTTTCCCCACACCTTCACACATCTTTACAGCTTCTTGAAGAGTATGTAGGAGAAGAGTACCACTACGCCTGCAGACAGCAGCCCAATCACACACTGGTGGATGGTGATGACGTTCTCCAGGGCGTGGATGCGCTCCTCCATGGCGTTGGTGTGGATGTAGTCATAAATGGAGGCTCCGATGCTCCACACCGCCCATACAGCATCCACCAACGCTTTCATAGTGGGAGAGACCATTGAGAGGGCTGCCTGCAGCCGGGCGCCAGCCGCGTCCGCTGCTTATTGGCCCCACTGCACTACAGAGAGAGAAGAGGGTGACACATGGTGCAGTGAGGAGGAAGCATTGTTGTGTGGGCATAGTCATAGCCTCCAAAACAGCAACCACAGTTACATATCTACAGCCATGAAAACAGTGTGTGTCTGTGGGAAGAGTGAAACTTCACATCAAAACAGTCCTCTTTATACTTTTCTTTTTTATTCAGTTACTTAAGTACTTCAATTGATTGCAGTTTTAAGGAAGTACTTTGACTTAACTTTAGTGTTTCTTTTTTTATGTTACTTTAAACTTGTTACTAGACTACTCCACTACATTTCAGAGACAAATATTGTATACAAATATATATGTATACACTTTTTACTCCACTATAAAATATCTCCACCTGGCCTGTCTTATACATTAATGCACTGCTAGTAATCCAATTTAGCTTTACATAAATATATGATAATATATAATATAAATAATAATATGACACTGACTTTACTTTTGAAACTAAGTACATTTTGCTGATAGTACCTTGAGTAAAAAAAAGACTTTTACTTGTACTGGTGTATTCTTACAGTATGGTATTGTTTATTTTACTTAAATCATGCATGATGCATTTATTTACCTGCTTCAGCAACAGCTGCAATATAACTTTTCAAACACCCTTTGTGATTTTGCCTGTTTTTAATGCCTTCAGGGTCTTTAACAATGCAATCCTCTTCCTCTTCCTCTCTCTCTCCTGCTGCCTCCCTCAACACATGCTGACGTCAGTACAGTATTAATAAACTTGGTCCAGGACTGAACTGGATTCACATAATCTGGCATTTGGTCTCGTAAAATGAGAAAACCCTAAAATCTGCGGCGCAACAGGAAAACCTGAGTTTGAGCAAAACGAAGAACCACACGGGAATTGTGTTGTACACAGATCAAAAACGCACAGGCTGTGTGGCGGAGTCATTTATTAATGGGCTCAAAAACTCACCGACGGGTGTCAGACGTTAATGTGACGATGCAGATGATGCTGAACATCCGTCCTGCTGTTGCTGGAGTAATGAGATGTCTTGTTTAGGAGAAGCCGGGCTGTTCCTGTCAGGTACAAAGTCGGACATTGCTACTTGATGTCAAGTCGGCCTGAATCCGACACACAGCTTCCGGACAAACCCCTTAAAATATAAAATTATTCTCTATTAATATCGCCTACTACATATTTTAGTCGCAGAAAGTGTCCAAGTGAATAAAAGAGTGCATTGAAGGAGGAATATGACACCACTTAAATCGTTACAATGGGTTAACAAATAAATAATGAGACCTTCAGGACAAAGTGTCAGTTCATTCGTTTTATTTTGATACGAAATCCGCCCAATTTCCGGCTATATTGTGGGTTTCTTGTCCACATGAAGCAGCTGACTGATGCCATATGAGAACGTCAGCACAGGCAGTAAAAGTAGAGCATGACCTCGAGAATTTAAAAGAAAAAGAAAAGAAATAGGATGCAAAATAACCTAAAATTAAATAATGGAAAATATCACAGTAGATATACAAAATATAACAATAGAATAGAATTAAAATAATTAAAATAGCAGAATAGAATAGTTTAAAATAGCAGAATAAATCACAATATAGTAGAATAAAATGCTAAATAGCAGAAATAATAGAATAAAATAGAACAGAATCTATTGCCATGTTACAAATATGGACAGAAAATAATAAAATACATGTAAAGAATACAACGAGAATGTAGAGCAGAAAAAGTGGAGTTATGGAGCACATAACTTAAAAAAATAAAATACAAACAGATAAATAGAAACCTTTCTAACTAAATATAAAATATGTAATGAAGCCACTTATAACATAAGCTGAGCAGAATCCATTTGTCTCGCTGTAATTAACCCCCGATGTGCAACTTCACGTGATCGCGCAAACAAAACAATAAAGGTTGTGTTTGACACACACGCACGTCGCTGCCACCAGGGGTCGCAGCACACTAACATGTTGCTGGTCAGGGAGGTAACATGAGAGGTGTGATGAACCTGGGATGTATATAGCCTGCTGAACAGCATCGATAAAAGAGGGGAACACCTTGAGAGAGCCGCACACTCGCCGCCCCGGAGCCACCGGAGACGCAGCTGAGTGCGGCCACGGTGTGTGTGTGTGTGTGTGTGTGTGTGGTGGACGGGCGAGCCAACACACCGCAGGAATGTGTGACAGGCAAACACACATGCTCGGACATTACTCTGTGTAGTGCTCTTGGCCGTTTTTTTTAAAGTCCTTCTTTTTTAGAATAATTGGAAATACGGGGGCCACGCGGCTGCGACCCCCCGACGGAAACCTATAACTGGAGGCGAGCCAGTGACGCGCTGAAAATAACCAGGTTACCACTTAGCACCGGTCCATTTTGGGGAGGGCCCAGCACGAGGGCGCAGCACCATATATCAGCTCCTTCCAGCTGTTTGGGAATACCCTGCTCATAATATCGAGGCTGCAGCATGGCAGCAGCAACAGCAGGCTCCTTTTCTCACTCCGTCTCCCTGTTTGTCCGTCTGTCTCTTCCCAGAATGGATATTGGGTGGCTGTGCTGGGTGCGCACCGGGGATCTCTCGGTGGGAAACGAAGAAGGTTTTTTTTTTTGTTGAAGGGAGGGAGAGAGGGGAGGGGGAGACTGGCACAAGAGGCGACACTGTTGCGTCTGCATGTTTTTTCTCCTTGGACAGAGGGGAAAGATAGGCCGGGGGGGGGGGGGGGGGTGGGGGACTGTCCGACTTATTCCAAGAGACAATTCGTTCCCCCCACCCCACCCCCCCCACCCCAAAAAAAGGATAATCTTGCTAAATTTGGGATGCATGCAACACCAAGTGATCAGATATGACTGGGGCGGCGGTGGTGCTGGCGGTGGATCATGGACGGCGAAGTTCAACTTCGCCTTCAGACGCGATCTCCTCCAGACGAGCGACCAGACAGACAGTCGGCGCCTTTTTTTACGCGAAGTCACCATATGGCTACAGGATGCTGACACCTGCCCGGTGCGCAGATAACAACAACCGGGCAGCATCACCCACTTCTTCAGACAGTGACAGGCAAGTAGATCAGTGGGTATGTATCGGCGTGGTCACAGATTATTAAACCCTGAACATTCCTTCATTAACCTCGTCTGGAAGTTAAAAAAAAAACCTTGTGGTCTAAAAGCCAATTTCCAGAAACCTATAGGTAAACCTTTTGGAGTTTCCTCCACATAGAGTCCCCGGAGATGGGACTGACGATGATGATGATGATGATGATGATGGTGTGTGTCAGAGGCTGGGTCTTTGCGGGCAAGGTGAGTCCTCAATTCGTTCAACTGGCCTACAAAGTCCCAGTTTCTGGCTCATGTGACCACTAAGTTATAGAAAATACACAATCATCTGTCAAAGAAACGAAATGTGGAACAGATGGACAATACAAGTAGGCTATCGCGGCAAAATAGCGATATCTAAGGAGATAACGTCTCACTAAAGGTCAGTAAACGCACCATTTAATACCGCTGATAAATAACGTGATCTGCCTAATAATTATGGCGATACCAATAAATACCATAGGCCCGATATAGACCGCAGGTAATATTATACGAATACTCTTTTTTTCTTTTCTTTATAGGTTTAATATATGAGCTATACAAATGAAACTTCAAAGGAGGACTACATTTGCAAACAGCTGCAGGTTTTAACCAAAGGAAACGTGAAGGCATGTAATATGAACTATTTAACAGCTCAGAGGGTGAAACTGTGAATGTCGTTGCTTAATTATTGGCCAAAACCTTTGATTAGTCAAACTTGAACTTTACAGCTTTGTGAAAGAGAAGCCTGCTTCTCAAGAGTGTCACCGAAAACCAGAGCAGAGGTTGTTTCTGTCTGATGCATACAATGATGAACAACTTTCACACAACGTTTCTCTGAAAAAAAAAAAAAGTAGCTCTGTATGTCTTAGCTGGCCTCATTCTGCTACACAGCTCTGATAAATAGTTTTCAGAACAAATCTTTTTCTTTCTTTTTTCCTGGCCTTTTTTTTTTTTTTTTTAAAGCCCAATCAAAAATAGGCCAAAATAGAAAAAAAGAAAAAAAGTTACATTTGCAGGGAAAATCAGTCAAATTATTGAATTATTCTGTCTTCAAAGAGCACACATGATAAAAACCTAAATTAGCTGCATTACAAGCAAATTACTCATATCCTCCTCGAATTTAGATGAGCGGTTTAATCCAAAGTTTAACCATTTCTGTAGACACTGACAGCTCAGACTCTACATGAACACACTGAAATGAGTTTAAAAAAACGAGACAAAGTGCCCATACTCTATTATGTCGAACAAGTGTGTCAAGTGGGGAAGAAGCTGTTTTGGAGGCCTGTTTCTATATCTGTCCTGACCCTAGCATGCCGTACATACCTCACTAATGAATTTAGCATCCCGACACTAGATGCTTTATGTAATTAATAGAGCTGAGGGCCGTGGTGGCATCTCCATGCTGCAAGTGACACATAGGTAAGACATTCGCTGAAGCATGGGATTTTTATTTTAAAAACACAAGACCTCCGTGATTATTAAAACACACCTAAAAACACTCACGTAAATGAAACAGACTCCGTTGACATCACAGTAGGCAGGAAGTTGTTACAGTTAATCTTTCTGTCAGTTTCACTTATGAAAAAGTTAATACTTGATCATAAGTTATTTGTAGGCTGTGCATAACAGATCAGTGGCAGGCCATTTGTTTTTACAATCCTGCTATGTCGTCTGACGTCTCTAATAAGTTGTCTCGAGGGAAAGCTGATACTTTGTCAAGTTCTAATTAAATTCCCTGTGGTTGTAGGTGATATCATACTGCTAATTTATGTTAAATATAAAAAACTATTTATGAAATCAGAAAATACATTTAAAATCAAATATAGAGAATACATAAAAATGTTTGTAGTGCACCTCAGACTGGTCGAGATGCACTCAATTATAATCAGTGATTCCCTCCAACGTAGCCCACTAAAGCGCAATGACACATCACAGAAAGCAGATAAAACCACTCCAGCCAAAAGCTCTCCATATATGCTGCAGGAGAGTACGAGCCAGTGCGGGTATGAGAGCTGAGGGCCTAGTAAGGGAGGCTTGGTGGAATGAGCCTGGTTTGAATAAGCAGCATGGCTACGGGGAGCTCTGGGATAGTCACCAAGTGTGCTGATTAAAGTTGTGATATTAAACAGTGCTGGCTGCTACCGCCTGCCAAGCCTCTCTCAGTGGCATTTCACATTGTTTAAAAGGCCCAATCGGACTCATCTCGCCACTTGCTACACAGCGTTGCTTACATCTTTTATTTTCCACCACGGCTGTCTCATATTCTCTCCTCACATCATTTGTTAGCAGGGTTGTAAGACTTACTCTAAATAGGTTTCCCCTGCATTTCCCAGTTTTTTTCTTTCTGATCTGGGTCACTGGGTTCACTCAGTTTTCAAATTGGCCGTAACTATGAACGCATGTGTGTGTTATTGTGAGCATCATATAGAAAACTCTGCTAAGGTAAAAACTTACGATTGTGTTTACCTTTTCTGTGAAAGCTGAACTTCTAATGAACACACAGGGCGCTCCTTCTCGGAAATTCTGCTCTGAACTCATTCAACCCCTGTTAAAAACGTCACTGCAAAACCCAATAAAACTCTGCCATTATAAATATACAATTCATAAATACTGGAAAGCATGCTCGCTTTTTGTGAAATATATGACCCAGGCTTTCTTAAAAGGTCAAACTTCAGACACTGTGGTCACTCCAGGTTGTTGCATTTCTTCAGCCACGATTTGAACCGATACCAAAGTTATGCACCAAATAGCGCTCAAAGAGCCAGCAAATGTTGTAGTTTGATCTCAAAAGTCTGGAATGAGACATAGAATGATTAGGGAGGGAGAGAGGAAGGGAGAAAGAAAAGGCAGCAAGAAAAGTGAGGGACTTTTAGGGGCAGCTGTGTTTTATTAACCCAGTCATAATGCCCCTAAAAATCCTTATTGCTCTTGCAATGGTCAACAAATCTCCTGTTACAACATGAAGAGGATCTCTGGGTGGCGTGTAGGGATTCACATCAACAACCTGTCGCACTGCAGGGCCATGTACATGTACACTGTATGTATTAAATGCATAGGTTACATTCAGTTTTAAAGAGTTTTGAACCTCAGT